GTAGTGTGCTTGTCTGCCCAAAAGTTATAAAGAGGAGGCGATGGTGTTATGCGTTATCCATCTTCAGGTCTTTGCAAACAAAATGTTTAAGAGGTAAATACTACTTTGCTTTGCATAAATAAGGGTGCGTCCCTCATGTAATGCTGCAAAAAAATACAATGTGTTAAGCACGTTTCATTAAGATCAGTGAGATTGCTTCTGGTAGTGTGTTTCTTAATAGTCGTTCCAGGTTTGGGCCTCAGTTTTTTGTTTGAAGATGCCTCGTTTGTTGAATACGGCGGACCAGTCTAATCGGAGCCATTCAGTTTTTAGCTAACTACTGATGATGTGTCTTTAAATGTCAGTTCTCTTCTCCTGTGGTTAACGTGGCTCTTTCTATTACAGACTGAATGAACAAGCCAGTGAGGAAATTTTGAAAGTAGAACAGAAATACAATAAACTCCGCCAACCATTCTTCCAGAAGAGGTCAGAATTGATCGCCAAAATCCCAAATTTCTGGGTAACAACATTTGTCAACCACCCACAAGGTATATTCTTAATAGACCTCTCTTTTTTTTTTTTTTTTTTTTTTTTTTTTCCCCCTGTAAATTCAGTGTTTGCTTGCTTGTTATGTGAGTGTCTTGCAGCTCTGAGGGTTTCCTAGAATTGTTGCTGGGTGTATGTTTAATCAGAAGCCTGCTTCATATGCAAACACTTCCTTTTTTTCCTAAAGTGCATTTTATAAGCTTTTTATTTCTTGCATTTGTTGAACAAAGGAACATCTTGTTTGCTAAAATCCTATGTTGGTCTTCTTTCTGCATTTTAAAGGACAAATTTCCCATTTCTCTTAGTTAATTGGGCCCTTTAAAGGGAAAAAAAAAATGATCTGGTTTGTTTGGGGTTTTTCTTAATTGGAGGTGAGCTCCTTGGCACTCTTAACAATCGACTTTCTGAGAGGACAAAACAAGTTTGTAGGCTGCTTAGATTGGGCAAACTACATGTGTGAAAACGTGTTTCGGAGAGAAGGGTAGATGTATGCAGGTAGCTTTTGCTGCCTTAACATTGAACTACAGCAAGCAAACATGTTTTCACCTCAGCAAATGCAAATCACACAAACGCTAATACTCTGCTGGCTGGTAACTCGAAGAAAACGGGCCACAGGAAGTTGCCTTGGACAGATGTGTTGCTTTTCAAATCTTGCTTACTATCAGTTTCCTGTATTTCATCTGCACAATACGTGTTTCATAGCTTTGTTAATGTGGGATTCCTAATTCTGTCTTAGTATCTGCACTGCTGGGAGAAGAAGATGAGGAAGCACTGCATTATTTGACCAGAGTGGAGGTGACAGAATTTGAAGACATCAAATCAGGTTACAGAATAGATTTTGTAAGTACTTTAAATAATTCCTTCACTTGTGATTTTTCTGGTTTTTTTTTTAAAGTAATCACATATTGGATTGTAGTTTGTAATTTAATCTCTTCAGTTATTCATTTAATACCAGGTTTGACTAGGCATGTGTCTTTACCTTAACTCTTTGCTTTCAACTTTGCAGTATTTTGATGAGAATCCATACTTTGAAAATAAAGTTCTCTCCAAAGAGTTTCACCTCAATGAAAGTGGAGACCCATCTTCAAAATCAACTGAGATCAAATGGAAATCTGGGAAGGTATGTCTCTGCATCTGGGAGAGATGACTGCTGCTCTGCATGATACCGTCACTTTAATTACGTTCCTTTTACTTTTTTTCTTTTTCTTTTGTATTGAAACTGCCTTGTCCTCCCTTTTCTTCCCCCCTCAACCCCCTTGCTATGTCTCTACATACATAGTTCATGCCTGTCTTGCAGGGTTCAGAATACCCTATTGATGTGGAGATCTGTAGTGAATTCTCTTGCTTAGTTCACCACCACTGTTAAAACAGTGAAAGTACAAGTATGAACAGGTGGAGAGAATTACAAGAATTACAAGTGCCTGTCTCTCTTTGGCCTGGACCTAGACTTTGTGTTTTGTGGTTTTCTTAAGATAACTATTAAATAATGAGTTCTGAGGACAGCGGGGGTTTGGGGGGGTCAGATAGTGGGGGGGTGAATTTTTTTTTTCCCCTCTTTATTTCCTTAACTTCCTTTCCAGACACTACATCTTTGTAGAAGTTGCAGCCACACAATAATGTGGGCACGTCTTTCATCCAGACAGCATTCAAATGTAGTTAAATTGCTGTAGCTAGTTTCTGTAAAAGTTGTGAGCATTTTCATGATATCCTGAAGATTTTTGAAATGAATATTTAAAAGTAGAACTGAGGGTTGCAATTAAGTCGCTGCTTGTTTTGTCACCCTCTGGTTGATAAAAAAACTTAATCTTTTTTCGTTGAGAACTACAACTTTTCCTCAAGTACAGAGTTACAGTCCAGTGCGAACTAGCTGACTGATCTTTACAACATACCACAAAATCAGTGTGAATTCTGGTATTCTTGATTAAACAGTCTAAACCTGTAAATGGTGTGATTCTATCAAGAAAATAAATACTAAAAGTTTGGAATTACCATATGGTCAAAGAAAGAATGCATTTAAATAGCAGATAGTAATTTTCTTTTCAGACTTAGCAAACAGATTGTTGCAAACTTATTAAAATTCTGGGGTAAGGTGGCAGGTACAGGATTTTTATGTTCTTGTGGCCATAGGTTTTAGCGGATTGTGTAGGTTTTTTGATTTAACTACAGAGAATGACCTGAAGACTTCAAAGCGAGAAATCTTAGGATAAGAAGAGTAGGCAGTTCTTTATTTCAAGGAAAAGACAGAGCTTAGAGATGTGGAGACTGAGTTTTTCTTAAATTGTGTGTATGTAGTAGTTGTAGCATTTAGCTACAATTACAGCTACTCTGAGTAGCATTTAGGCATCGTGAGATCTTTTTAAGTTCAGTATATCATTAAATACTTGTCTTACTTGTACTTCCCTGTGATAGGGAGCAAGACCCTGTGAATTTTCAGTATTTCAGTGGAGGTTGTTAAAAGAAACAGGCGGGTTTACTGTTTTCTCATGTTCATGAGACATGCAAGTGGCTGAGTTGTATCTTCTGTGAGTTGTTTGTGTTTCAAATGTTTCTTAAAGACCCCTTCATGAAAGAGGGAGTAGTAAGTGACTTCTTGTGGTTGTTTAGACAAGTACATTTCTAAGTGGTGCTTATTTAAAAAAAAAAAGTGCCATGTAAAGGCCCCTTCTTAGGGAACTTCTTAACTTTGTTTCCAGGATCTGACAAAACGTTCAAGCCAGACACAGAACAAAGCCAGTAGGAAGAGGCAGCATGAAGAGCCAGAAAGTTTCTTTACCTGGTTCACTGATCACTCCGATGCAGGGGCTGATGAACTAGGAGAAGTCATCAAGGATGACATCTGGCCAAATCCATTACAGTACTACTTGGTAAGTATAGCACTGAGTTGTTGGTATTGATCTGTACCCATAATAGCACTGTGCAAGTGAAAGTGAATTTGATCACTGTAGTTAATGTTGCATATGTGTCTTTAAGGTTCCTGATATGGATGATGAAGAAGGGGAAGGAGAGGAGGATGATGATGATGATGAAGAGGAAGAAGGGTTGGAGGATATCGATGAAGAAGGAGATGAAGATGAGGGGGAGGAAGATGAAGATGATGATGAGGGAGAGGAAGGAGAGGTGAGTAATCTTCCCCCTTCCATCTCTGGTATATGAGAATCAAAAGAAATTTGTAAGACAGATCTTATAAGAATACTGAGCCATTGTTAAAAAGGTAAAATAGTTCTTTTCTGTACAATCACTGACAAGGTGTCGGGGGGGTGGGGAGAAGCAGAACTGTTACTACCCTAACTTGCAGCATGGTTTAAGGGAAGTGCTGTAGAAGAACTAGGATACTAGTGTAACAAAATTCTTCTTTAATTAGTGAACATTCTAGCAACACCTTACTTGTAAATAGCTTTTGTTGATGCATCCAGTTTTGTCATCCTCCCACCTGTTGGTTTATTTCTGCTTATGGCCAGCTTAGCTAAGACTGTGTTGGACTCAGGAATTAGAAATTTCCTGTAGTAAGTGGGATTCCAGGGACAGCATTCAGGGTGTTGGTACTTCAAAGTTTAGTATGTCTTTGTTTCTTGTATTTGGGCATGGTGTGTCTGAATTTCAGCAGCAAAAAACGATTTGTATTGAGATAGGAGAGTACAGGGCTCGAATATGTAATCTAGAATTTAGCATCTGAAAGTTAAACTCTGAAGAGCGAAATGCTTCAAGGGGAAAGAAGATGAGCCCTTCACTTTCTAAATGTTAAAGTTATGTCAATGTTTGTAGCGATTCTACGTCACAGTAGTTTTTCAAACCTGAGGTTTGTTGATTGGGACATCTAGTTATTAACTGTTTTCTATGTAGATAGGTACTCACAGCAAGTGTTACTGCTCCTTAGCGAAGAGGGAAAAATTGTTTATCATACGGCACGCTATAAGTAACGCTGTAGGGCTGTATAGTTTGTAGGGTAGGAAAACATTATGGTTATTGCAATTGAAAGTTCGTGCTATCTAAAGTTTAGTGATTAGAATTTCTTAATTGTTGCTTATCTTTCAACAGGAGGATGAAGGAGAAGATGACTAATTGAACACTGATGGATTCCAAACCCCCTTTTTACCTTTTTAATTTTTCTCCAGTCCCTGGGAGCAAGTTGCTGTCTTTTTTTTCTTGTGCTCAGTCGCCTTGTTCTCTTGAGGTCTCTTTTTCTCTCCTCTACACCATGGTTCACAATTTATTTTGGGGGAAATATCTTGAGCAGAATACAGTGGAAAAGAATCTACCAGTGTCTGTTTCAAGTTCATTTTTATCCCTTTCTGTCTCAAAACAAAAACTGTTTATGGAATCAACACACCATGTTCTGTGGGAAAAAAGAAAACCTTCTGCTCCCTTCACTCTGCTGGAAGCTGAAGAGTGCTAGGCCCCTGTGTAGTAGTGCATAGAATCTAGCTTTTTTCCTTCTTTCTCTGTATATTGGGCTCAGAGATTACACTGTGTCTCTATGTGAATATGGACAGTTAGCATTTACCAACATGTATCTGTCTACTTTCTCTTGTTTAAAAAAAAAAGAAAAAATTAAAAAAAAAAAAAGGGGTTATAGAAGGTCAGCCGGGGTGGGTTTCAGATGTTTGGGTGGGTTAAGTGGGCATTTTGACAACATGGCTTCTTCTCCTTTGGCATGTTTAATTGTGATGTTTAACAAACATCCTTGCGGTTTAAGATGACACTTTTAAAATAAAATCTTCTCCTAATGATGACTTTGAGCCCTGCCACTTGATGGAGAATCAGCAGAACCTGTAGGATCTTATTTGGAATTGACATTCTTTATTGTAATTTTGTTCTTGTTTATTTTTAAATTCTTTTTTTTTTTTTTTTTTGTTTCACTGGAAAGGAAAGAAAGATGCTCAGTTTTAAACGTTAAAGTGTACAAGTTGCTTTGTTACAATAAAACTAAATGTGTACACAAAGGGGCTGGTTGGTCTTCACTGAAAGAAACAGTTTTAATATCCTGGTTTGAACTTGCTTGTAGTTTCTTTGCATTTTTGGGGGCATTTGGTCAGTATTTATGTAGTAGAGTGCAACGTTGTGTTGCGTGGACTGATAATCAGTTCATCTAGTTTCCGCTCTTTCAGTACTTGTAAAATGTTTCATTTGGTAGCTAGTACTGCACACTCTGTTTCTTGAATTACCTAACTCTGTAAGACAGGGCTGTAGGTGCATATGCCTTGTGTGAAGACAGAGGTTTCTATCATGTTTTGCAAAAAGAAAAATCACTTGATTCTGAGATTTATTTTTTTTTAAAGTAGTAACCTGCAGTACTGTATCTCCAGTAAATCACTTTGCATGAAAACATCATGCAAGCTCAGAATAAAAAGACCAGGGGGTCTTATATATAATAAGATTTGGGTGTTTTTGTAAGTCTCTTTAGTTGAAAATAAATCTTAAGTGGAAGCTAATTTTTGGGCTATTTCAAAGAGCAAGATTCTTGGCGAAGCTCATGTATAAAAAGTTGCTACTTCACTGCTTTCTTTCCTCGGTAGCAGCATGTATATATGCTTTAGATATACTGTACTCTTTCATTTTAAGAGACTGCATTTGAGTAGCTTGTAACAATTTCACATAGAGGTTGTTGGTACTGGTATTCCACAAAGTGTAATGAAAGTTGTTTTAACATGCTGTGCTTTTGAAATATTTAAAAAATGTTGTATCAGCTAATCTAAAATTCAAACAGCTAGTTCTCTTTGGATGTGTAGAAAAGACTGTCTTCTGGGAAGACTTGCTGTTATATTCTCTGATTCCTTTTCCTCACAGAATTTGCTATAGACAAATTCGGCTTTTTTTGATGCTTAAGAATTCACTTTGCAGAACAAGATTAATCTCTATTTGAGACATACCCAAATAATGTGCGTGGGGAAACATTCTGTAAGTGTCTGGTCCAGCTTGGATTCAATCCAATTATCAGAGATAATACAACGTCCAGTCTGCACGTGATCAATGCAAAAATAAGGCAGCCATTTACTTTATCCCATCTCAACAAAAGCTTCTGCCCTGATCCTGCTTGCAGAGCAAAGTAAAATGTTAATTGGTAATGGTTTCTTACCATCTAGAGAGAGAAGGAACAAAACCTATGAAGTATAAATTTTAGATTTCTTCTTCATTTGATTCCTTTTTGTTGTAGGATTGAAAACCGCTTCCTGTTGTGGTAGAGGGTCGATGTGCTATTACTTGCCATGATGCCTCGTTACTTTTTATGTAGTCCTAATTGATTGTAGTTCTTCAAGGAAAATAATTTTTTCCTTGCTTTAATGCTTTAGGAAAAATACTGTGCCATTGTTGTTACACCCCTGTTAGTTACTAGCAGAAAACCTATAAAAACTGTTTTGAAAGTAATGAAAGCTTCAGGTTCTGTAAAGTCAAATACCATGAAAAGAAATGAGAAGTCTGGATAATGAAATGCTACTTCTGAGATTTTTCTTGCACATTCTTTAAGATTTTACAGGGTGCCAAAACACTCTTACTACTGTACTGATAATACTGAATTTCCTGTGAAACTTAAGGGTTTACTCCTGGCGACAGCTAAAGAGTAAACTAACGTGCTAAAAGAATAAACCATATTTGTTAAGTGTAATCTTAATTTTTTTTTTTCTAGCAATGGAAATGAGTAGGGATTAACACATTTCTCTGCAATGCTGAAGGAATACTACAGATGGCCATCATGTGCTTTGACTGTTCACTTAATGTCTAATTTGGCTGAATATATGTAATGGGTGTCCATTTTACTTGATTTAATTTGTATATGCATATAAAGAGCATTTAAAGGTAGACATCCACCTTGGATAAGAATGGGAGAATCATTCTTATTAAATATCTGTATCATTAATTCCTCACGGCTGCTTGAGCTCCTCACATCCAGTTAATCCTGCCAAGTGAAATTTGTCACAGGTGGAAGATGAATTTGGGCTTCGTGGCCTGAATTTCCAGGGTTAGAATATAGAGTTGGCGTCAATTTAATAAACATGAAGCTACTGTGCTGGGGCTGTATGACTTAAATGACTCAAAGGTTATTTTTTATCTTAAGTTTGAAGTTTAATTGCTATAAAATGGAATCTTTTGTCTGTAATTTCTAGTGCCAAAGGAAAGCAAATACATCCGTGTGTGTGTAAATACAGTTAGAAAGGTTTGGTTTTTTTAAAGGGTATCTGTGTGCTTATTCATACTTGTCAACATAGTTTTTGTCCCTGTAAACAAGCATTATCTGAATCTATTTCTCAGTCATTTATGCCATTCATTTGAATCTGTAATCTTCTCTTTGTACCACATTCTAAAACAGGTGCATAACGATAGTACTTTGTTTATTGGATACTGTTCCTGAATTTTGAAGCCATGCTTTTTTTTTTTTTAAGAGACTGAAATCAATGAAATAACTTCTCTGATGTACCTTCAAGATATCCTTCTGTTTGAAGGAATTAAAGTACATTTAACTGTTACTTGATGTTACTATTTCTAAGAGTCTTTTTCAAAAGAATCAGTTATTAGTCCCAAACTTGGCATTGTCTTTCATGGGTGAGGCTGGTAGTGCTCACTTCTTTTATGGATATCAGGTGCCCAGTGTGATAAGAGTGACAGGAGGTCACAAGTGACTCTGGAACAAGATGCTTGCTTCCTCTGGGGAACAGATTTATGTTTATCTCTTGCCCTCCTCCTGGATTAAAAATGGAGACTTCTAAGACTTTTCTTTTGATCATCACCTTCTCTGAGTAACTGTGCCCTAGTGGAGGCAGTCCTGTAAGACACAACTCCCGGTTCCTGCTAAGTAGCCTTAGCTCCTCTGCACAGCGCAGCCGGTGGGGCCCGGACATTCCCCCCTCCAGGCTCGGCCGTGCCCGCTGGGGCCGGCTCTCTAAGGCACCGGGCTGCCCGGGAGCTGCGGCAGCCCCGCTGCTGCGGGAGGATTTCTGCAGCACCGGACAGGGGCTGTAGCAGCGTCCCCCCTGGGTGCTCCTACGGGCTGACCCGGGAGGGCTGTTCCCTGGCCGGGAAGGAGGGTAAAACGGGAGAGTTGGCCAAGGTGAAAGGCGGAGGTCTCCGGGAAGCGAGGGCATCCTTCCCCTGCGCTTTCCCCTCCCTTCTAGCGCTCGCATAACCGCAGGCAAAACGGCAAGAGGCTTTCCTGGAGCCGTAATCGGTCTACAAGCCGGCGCCGCGCACATCCCTTCTCCTCGGGTTTAGCGGAGGACAAGCGGCTGCCGGTTCAAGGGCAGGGGCATGCCTCAACCCTCGGCACCCCCTCCGGGAGGCGCCCAAAAAAGACCGCGCGGTTCGATCCCGGGACCGCCCCCACCCGGGGGTTCGGAAACAGCGGCCCGCCCGCCCCCCGGGCCGCTCACACGCTCCCCCTTCCCGACGATGATCCTACCTAGGCAGGAGCTGCACCTGGAGGGCTGGCCCGGGCCCGGGGGTGTCGCCAGGGCACGGAGGAGCCATGCCCCCCGGGGTCCTGGAAGGGCTGGACAGGCACGTCGTGCTCCCAGCTGTGCCACTCATCTTCCCGTGGGACAGAGGTTGCCGAGTGGGCAGGAACTGCTGATCCCACGCACCGGCCCCCTCTATCCGCAGGATAGAACTGCAGGATACAACAGCTGAACCGTGCCCGGGGGATGGGCTGAGGGCCCCCCCCGGGTAGCCAGGGACATCTCTGACCGGGAGGGAGGCAGAAGGCTGCAAAGCCAGAGCTGGCATCCTCCTTGGCCCCCGGGATCACCCGCGCTCTGAGGGCCAGCCATCGGCCAGCCCCATCCCTCCAGGCTGAGGAGCTGTTTCAGCCAGATGGCCCTCGGCCACCTGCTCCCCAGGCTCCCTGAACTGCCCCCAAGGCCTCCCCCTGCTTCACCCAGTGGGTACAAGACCCGAAGGAAAGAGGGGGAAGCCCCTGGGTGAACCCCCAGGGCAGCGGTGGGCAAATGGACCTCTGCAGCCACTGCCCCACCAGGAGCTCCCACCAAGCCTCTCTCCAGCTGATGGAGCCAAATGCAGCCCTGATCCCTGTCTGCTGGAATGGGCTTTGTCCGCTGAACATATGGTAGTGTCCCTGCTCCTCTGAAATTCAGTCCACGCCTACTAGTTTGACTTGCCCCTTCCCAGTATTTCTACTGAATGAACAGTTTAACTAAAATCATTCCTTAAACACTAAACAGAGCCTGGACCATGTTACAAATAGCAACAGGTTCCAGAAGGGTTTATATTAATCTAATGTGCTTTCTTAACATGCTTTATTAACAACGGGGGCATGTTCAAAGGTTTTATAGAAGTTTAAGGCTTTATTAATTCAACTCAATTAAGCTAGATTTAAATTTTACAGTTTCTGGTGATTTCCTTTTACTAATTATTCAGTTGCAGATCACTTACAAAATGCTTATGCCAGAAAAAAAACTGTTCTAATTAAATAAAAGGAAAATATTTCTGATTATTAGTGTATTTCTAAATTTGTACATGGGAATACTATAACCTCTGGATGCCTTCTGGCTCAAAGTTGTGTATTGCTCCAGGACTGAAAAAGCATATTAGTGCACTAATATTACACAACACTGCTGCAGAGGGATCTTACAAGTGGTGGGTTTTGCCACCTGGAAGCAATAAGTATCTTTTTCACTTGTTTTAAACGCCGGGCCTATGACTCTGCATGCCGGTTCTGCATGGCATGATGGCAGTACAGAAGTGTGGTGGTTTTTCACTCATGATAGCTGGGGGATTACTGCCAGCCTCGCCAATGCACTTGGGTTATTTTTTCACTCAAATAGTTAGCTGAAACGCCAGATCCTACATGTAGAGGGGCAGAGAAAAAGTTAGTCAAAAACCGCCACTGGAGACGGGCATCACCCCCTTTCCAGGGAAGCATCCTATCTAAAGGAGAGTTGCAGTTTGCTTGTTCTCCTACAAACAAACACCAGTTACAAGTTAATCTGGAGAACTAAAATTGGAAACCACCTGATCGACTCAGCACAGCAAACTGGGCCCAGGCTGGGGCCAGCTGCAGGGATTTTTCCTCACAGCGCCCAGCTCCCAGAGGAGGTGTCAGGAACCGATCGGGGCCCGAGTTAAGGAGATCTGTCATTGTGTACGTCCCCGTACCGTCCCTTTGGCACGAACCCACAATTTTTTGTGCCTACAAAGGACACTGACCCCCTAAAGCCTCTCCTTCCCCAGCAGCCCGACGCGGAGGGCGATGCCCACGCTGGGAAGCGGGAGGTACCTCAGTCTCCTCAGCGTCCGGCCTGTCGCGCCTCTCTCCTTCCCGCCGCCATCCTGGGCGCGCTGTGGGACCTCGCCCCCAGGTCTCGGCTGCGCATTTCCCCTCAGGGCGGGCGAAGGCAGCGGGACAACCTCCTGACAGGGGTGGGAGCCGCGGC